GGACATCCAGGTCTCGGTGAGGGCAGTATCTGTGGGTTGGAGGGCATTCTGGCTTGAGGAATTCCAACTCATAGGGTATCTGAGCCACTGTTTTATTCCTGTGAAGAGACATGAAGAGACCATGACCAAGGCAACTCTTATAAAAGACAGCATTTAATTAGGCTCTAGCTTAAGTTTCAGAAGGTTAGTCCTTTATCTTCATGGTGGGAAGCAGACAGGCATGGTGCTAGAGCAGTAGCTGATCCTCATCTGTAGACAGCAGGCAGAGAGAACAAGACTGGTCTGACATGGGCTTTTGAAACTTCAAACCTCACTCCCAGTGACACATCTCCAAGAAGGCCACATCTTTTCTAACAAGGCTGTACCTCCTAATCCTTAGGGTGGTGAATTCAATCAATCCAAGTAGGATCAGAGGATTAGAAGGGTATCTAGATGACGAGAGTTCAGAGGCTGCAATGAGAGCTTGTTTATATATTGGGTGAAAGAAAGAAAATATTGGTCAAATTAGTCAAAATACTTGGAGTAATTTGTAAGTAAAGGGAATTCAAATTATGGAAAGGGAGAAAAGAACCTGGTGGTATTGCATTAAAACTGGAGGTTTCAGTGCACAGTCAGTTTCCAGTGTAACACTAGGTGGTGATAGAGAGAGATGTAAACAGGTCCATATATAAATACTGGCATACTTGAACTCTACACTGTGCTGGGAAGAGATGCTCAAAAATGTTTAGAAGGACAAAAATTGTCCTTTCAGAAGCTCCCATTGACCAAATTTGGGCAATTTAAGCAGGAAAATAGATATGCAGAATAAGTGATTCTATTGCATGAGTCAAATGAGAGTCTGGGTTGGGGATGCAGTACAGCACTTGCTCAGCTTGAGGAGTGCCAAAACAAACAAGAAACCCAACCCGGAATCAGTGAATCCATAATGACACACATAAATAAATAGTTTGTGGAGGACACTCAAAAAATTGAAAAGAATTCTCATAAAATTAATAGCTACAAAGAGATAAAGAAGAATTTCAGAGAAACTTGGCATACATCAGTGATAGAGTAGACATGGTCTGTGCAGGGACAAATTGAAGTTATAAACACTTGATAGGATGCACAGCTCCACTTCTGTGATAGTTCTGCTAGGGACACGTGACCCCGGGCTGGGGGTACAGCTCATTGTGAAGCACTTGCCTGAAGCCCAAGCATCAGATCTACACCAGGTTAGACTAGAGACACATGATCTACCACTGGATCATTCTGTAACAGTCAGCTCTATACCAGGTTAGACTAGAGGCACATGATCTACCACTGGATCATTCTGTAACAACTGCCTGAGCTTGGGGAATGGGCTTTAAGGATAATATGGCATTATGTGTCAGTGTTAATTTCCTGGTTTTCACACTGTTGAAGGATGTCCTTATTTGTAGAAAGTACATACAGAAGAATTCAGGAATATTGGGGTCATTAGGTTGTCAATAGCTTAGGGGAAAATTATTTGCATTATATATCACTTGAGAATCATAATTGAAGGGGCTGGAGAGATGACTCAGAGGTGAAGAGCACTGGCTTCCAGAGGTCTTCAGTTAAATTCCCAGCAACCACATGGTGGCTCACAACCATCTATAATGAGATTTGGTGCCCTCTTCTAGCATGCAGCCATACATACAGGCAGAATACTGTGTACATAAAAAATAAATCTTTTTTAAAAAAGTCATAATTGAGCTGGGTGTGGTGGCACATGCCTTTAATTCCAGCATTTGGGAGGCAGAGGCAGACAATCTTTGCAAGGCTAGCCTGGTCAACAGAGTGAGTTCCAGGATAGCCAGGGCTACACACAGAGAAACCCTGTCTTGAAAAACCAAAAAAAGAAGGAAAAAAGAAAGAAAGAAAGAAAAGGAAAGGAAAAGAATCATAATTGTTAGCTGAGCATAGTGGCACACTCGTTTAATCTCAGCACTCAGGAAGCCAGCCTGGTCCATATAGTGAGTTCCAGTACAGCTAGAGTCACATAATGAGACCCTGTCTTTTTTTTAAAAAAAAAAAAAAAAAAGCTGGGGGCTGAAGAAATAAATGGCTCAGAGGTTAAGAGCACTGGCTGCTGCTCTTCCAGAGGTCCTGAGTTCAATTCCCAACAACCACATGGTGGCTCACAATCGGCTATAATGAGGTTTGGTGCCCTCTTTTGGCATGTATACATTAAAAAAAAAAAGCCATAATTGTTTCAAAAATCTAAAAAAAGCATAAAAAACATCAATCAATAGTTTCAAGAGTGAATCTCTACTTACCACCTCCTCCTCATACTACAGTGTTGAAGCACACTTACCTAGATACATAGTTTGAATATGTATATTCAAATTGATGTCCCTCAGAGTTGAAAAATGAATATAGGGGAAAAAGACTTAAATTGTGTGTGTGTGATGTATGTGGATAACATGTACCTGTGCAAGCATGTTTGGAGGCTGGAGAGTAACATTAATGTCTTCCTCTGTTGCTCTCCACCTTATGGTGTGTGTGGTGTATGTGCGTGTATGCATGCATGGGCGCCTGTGCGGGCAGGGATGAGAGGAGGCATCAGGTGTTCTTCACTATCTGCCACTTGGTGCCTTTGAGGTATGGTCTCTCACTTAACCTGGAGCTCATGTTCTTTTCCACTAGGCTGGCAGCCAGCAAGCCCCAACAAATTTCCTACCTCTGCCCTGCTCTGCTAGGGTTATAGGTGGGGGTGGAATGACATCTTGCTTTTATTCACATGGGTGCTGGGATTTGAACTCTGGTCCTCCTGCTTGCATAATAAACACTTTGAACCACTGAACCACCTCTATACCAATTCTCCAGCTCCTGACAGCCTTATTTTTTGAGTCAGGATGTCTCACTGAGTCTGGAGCTCACTGGTTGGCTACACTAATGGACCAGGAAGACTGGGATTCTCCTGCCTCTGCCTCTTCAGCACACACTCCATGCCTGGCTTTTCTGTGGGTGCAGGAATTTGAACTCAGGTCTTCATGCTTGCAGAACTAGCAATGAGCTGTCTCCCCAGCTCTAGAGAAGGCTTCTGTTGTGTGTTCTAGTTAATGTTTTAAAATTTGTGTGTGAATTTAAGTGATATACACCCCCCACACACACCCACCCAAATTTATCTGCTTGGAGTAAAGTCTCACTATGTGGCCCTACCTGACCTGGACTCGCTTTGTAAACCAGCTGACCTTGAATTCATAGAGATCCATCTGCCTCTGCTTACCGATTGCTGGGACTAAAGTTATATACCACCATCCCTGGCTATTTCCTCTCTTTAAAAAAAAAAAGGTTTTGGGAGTGAGGGTAGAGGTTGAGACGGTCTCGTGTAACCTGTGCTGACTTGAACACCTTATCCTGCTCCCATCTCCCAAGTACTGCAGTTACAGTTGTGTGCCACCATGCCTGGCTCCAAATTTTTTGTAATTTTATATGATCTGTATGTAGATGGACCACTGAACTATTACAAAACTAAGGTTTCAGTAGTAATAAACATTTATAGTTTACAAAGCAGTTTCACAGTCTAATTTGATCTTAATAATCACATTTCATGTATTTACCAAAGACTAAAAATATCATTGTTTATACTTATGATGTACAAATAGACATTATTATGATTCTTACCTTATAGAGGGGCAGAAGGAGATGTAGCCATGACTCTAAGGGCAGGGATCAGGATTCCAGTCCACAGGACATGACTTGAACCTGCTGCCTCTTACTGAGTTCTAATTTGCTGGTGACATAATCTGGGTCCTGTTTATCAACACATAAAAATAGGAACAACAAAAACACAAAGTACCCGAGACTAACCTCAAGTAGAAGAGCATATCACTTACATGGAAAGGTATATGCAATTATAAAAGTTGCCTGAGGTGTTTTGAATAACATGCATACAGGTTCCCAAACCCCCCTTGTTTTCACTTTCAATTAATAAATTCAGGTGTGATGATTTGGAGCTTATGAAACATTTATTCAGGAAAGCTGAGGTGATTTTTTTTTTCTTCTCCTTTTGGTAGTTCCAAGAACCTTTTATTTTTTTTTTTTTAATGAGGGTAAAGGCAGATGGGTTTGGCAGAGACCTTTCCTGGGTAAGTGAAGACACCCCTGCTGCTTCCATGTCTCCAGACAGTCTTAAGGGAAAGTTGCTTGCCCGTGTGTTTTTCCTTGGGGATGCGCTGTCTTGCTGTTACTGTGAACTATCGTAATTGGTCCAAATTGTGCAGCATTATGAGTGATGTCTTTGTCTTGAGCTAACAGAACAGCTCAAGAACATTCTTCAAAAAAGAAGAAACTTATAAAGGAGAGGCTGGCACCGTGACTGTTTAGACAGTGAGATGGACTGTTTTCAAACAAGTCTAACTCATTATATGCCTGCCAGTGAAGACATCTTAATAACAGCAAACAGCCCCATTATCAGGATGCTTCTATTAGCCAATTTATTTGTTGAGATCAGTGGGCAGGACACCATCTGTTACCAGAAAATTTCTTTTCATCAAATCTGCCCCCATTAGGAGTCCCAGTTAAATAACATCAGCTTGCCCTCCAGTTTAATTTCCATAATAACTCAATTCAGGGTATAGAGAGAAAAGGGCAGCTAAGAGGATCTTGTAAATTGTACTGAGGATTTAATTTGGTCATCTCCTTGGTAAAAAATATTAGGAGGAGGAGTTCATGTGTGACACCAAAAAGGGCTGAAGAGAGGGGTGCGGCGCTCCAGATGGATGGAGTCGCCTGGAGGAAATGGTTGATTAAGAGTCTGCCTTTCTGATAGCCTTTTGGTGACATCTGGTTTTCTTAAATTTGTGTTTTATAAGGCATATTTCAATTATTTAGACTCAGGTAGTGAGAAGATTCTCATTCCATAATTACTTTGAGGACCCAAAAATATGTACATGTTGGTGTGTGTATGTTTATATAAAGTACAATGAATATTCAGCTGTTATTACCATAAATGTGTCTGCTACGTCACTGACTTTTCTATTTTTATTCTGCCAAAGGTCCATGACTCCAGCTCAGGCTGACTTGGAATTTCTTGAGAATGCCAAAAAGTTGTCCATGTATGGAGTTGATCTTCACAAAGCAAAGGTATCGATAACTTTGGCCTTTATTAACTTGTATGTATATGAATATGACACATACCTATTAATGTATCTAGCACACTTGTTTTATCTTATACCTCTTAACATTTATTTATGGTGTTTTATTTATTTATTTTGGCTTTTTCAAGACAGTGTTTCTCTTGTAGCCCTGGCTGTCCTGGAACTTGCTCTGTAGACTGGGCTGGCCTCAAACTCAGAGATCTGCCTGCCTCTGCCTCTGGAGTTCTGGGATTAAAGGCATGTTCCACTACTGCCATGCTAGAAAATGTCTTCTTAAGGTTTTTTTTTTTTTTTTGGAGTGGGGGGTGTGATGATTGTATGCCTATATTAAAAAATGAATTCTATATTTTAAGTGGGAAAATTATGTGGTATATAAATTCTGTATCAATAAAATGTTTCCTATTTACAAAAAAATTTGCAACCAAAACATTGTAAAGATAGCCGGACAGTGGTGGCACACGCCTTTAATCCCAGCACTGGGGAGGCAGAGGCAGGCGGATCTCTGTGAGTTCGAGGCCAGCCTGGGCTACAGAGTGAGTTCCAGGAAAGGCACAAAGCTACACAGAGAAACCCT